ACGTATGACCCAGAAATAAATGATAACAATAAATTAATCGATTCACGATTATGACTATAATTATCTGTATATTATGGCTCAACTGTAGTTTATGTTCTGCGTGTATATTTATTTGCAGCAAAAAAACATTGCTGTCCATAAATGCATTGGCAATCTTAGGAGGTGCTTTGGAATTTTCATCGAGATACCTCCATTCTTATGAAGTTCTTATCTTTGGAAGGCTGATCATTGGAATAAATAGTGGTATGTGTCAATAATTCTTTAAATGATTATATAAAATTTTTTCGCTTCTGTTTATTTGTTTTTTGGTTTGTTTGTCTGTCAACAGGATATCTCAAAACGTTACAGACGGATTTTGATGAAATTTTTTGGACGGGTTGGTCTTGGGCCAAGAACCAATCGATTAGATTTTGGTGGTGATCCGGATCCAGATCTGGGGCCCGTTGTCAGAAACAAAATTAGTCTTAACATTAGTCTTAACACTAACATTTTCTCGTAGACCGTCGACAGCGCTTTGTTTCCTATTGTTATGAGGAAATCTGCTACGATTTTCCATTCAGGCAACTTCGCAGCGTTTCTGTCGACGGTCTAAGAGAAAAAATTAATGTTAAGACTAATGTTAAGACTAATTTTGTTTCTGACAACGGGCTCCAGGATCCAGGAATTTTTTGAAGGATTTCTCATTATTGATGGTAGTGTAGCGGTTTACTCTCTAACCGCTTCGCTTCGTTTCGCTTTCGCTTTCTTTCTCTGTAGGGGTTTATGATGTGTCACCGCCACATTAAACCCGACTCCATTTATATTGATAGCCATAATATATTATATAGCTATATAGGGGAACTGTTAGGGGAGGTGTAGGTTTGCTATCTCCGATTTTTTTAAATTTAATCATGGTTAAATGTCATGGTTATATGTGTGTAAATGCAAATATTGTTATCAAGTCCATAACTTCCTCTGTATGTGACCCGCCATGCTGCTTGCACGTGATTCCCAGGTAGGTGCTATAGCTAGTTCCACTGTTAATGCGTACATCCGATTTTCAGTCATTCAAAGTTTATCTGATAAGGACTACAAAAACCTGTATGCATATACAGTATAGAATCTCAGGCTTTCAATTTTTAAGGGGCGGCGATCGCGCTCTCGGCTCGCACCCCCGCACCGAAATTGTGCCATGGTGGCGCATCCATCGCGCCTCATAAAAGTGGTTGAAATCGCCCAGACCAAGTATGGTCTATTATGTTGAAATAGCGCTCCATAGAGTTCTTCAATGACAATGTAGGGGGGTACAAAAAGGTTAGCAACACACAACAATTTGTGTGTGTAAGTAACTGAACGTATGGCAGAGGTACAGGTCTGGTTACTACCCTCTGGTTTATATATATATATAAATACAACTAAACAACAGCATCCAAATACAGGTACCTATACGGTAGCCACAAGTTACCTGCTCGTTTCTACTATACGTGGCGGGAATGGTTTTCTGCCAACGTGAAACAGTCGTAGGCTGGAGGGGCTACATACGTGGCTACTACGTACAAGTAATTGGCTAGTTTGTTGACGGATTGTGATGATATTTTGTGCTGAAATATGCAGGTACATGGATTAGAATCTCTAAGGATGGAAATCGAATAAATAAAACAAGTTTATTTTTACATCCGATCAACTCTTTTATTAATCTGTGTGCTAGTGTTGGGTTGTTGGATGAAAAGAATGTAATCCTGACGAAGCATTGAATAAATGAAGGGTGAAGATGAATGATAAGTCAGATTGACATGACATCCCATTTTTCGTTTTGGATTTCACTCTAGACTGAGGATTGGTCATGATTCCAATCATCACACCCAAGAGGCATGATGGAGAGCCCCAAGGAGCTCTCCATCATCCCTTTAAAGGTGTGATTTTTTAGTGGAGCTCTCCATCATGCCTCTTAAGGGTGTGATTATGGAGCGTGAAAAGTCCCCCTATGGTGTCCTAGGGGAGTCATTAGTAGTCCTCCTGTACTTTTCAAATCTGAAAGCCTGGAATCTCATAGAAAGGTGGCATTTTTTTTCTTCATAACCAGGTGCATGTCTGTTGTGGTATCGCATCACAGCCAAACTGTTAACAGTGATTATGATTTGGTAGCCATATTTCCAGTCTTTTATTTCATATATCACTCCGCCTCCGCAGCCTCATCACCTATCCATATAGTACTACCACATCTCCCTCACAATGGTAAGATATTAGCAATATCATAAATATTACACAAACTACAAATATTACAAAAATTACAAGTTTACATTCTATAGAGGTGGGTTTAATGTATAACTGCCCCTCAATGAAAGCCACAAAACTGTCCGAATTTCCATTTTATAGAGGTCTGTTGTGTAGAGCCTTCTCTTAATACGGGTTTAAGCTGTATTTGCGTAAGTTTTAATGTCACGTGTTGCCTCTGCTTGTTACAGGCCTCGTTTCCGGAGCCGCGCCACTTTACCTGACAGAGATTGCTCCCGTGAACCTGCGTGGAGAGCTGGGCAGTTCGCATCAGTTCGTCGTTACCATCGCCATATTGCTCTCGCAGATATTGGGGCTTCCAATGATCCTTGGCAATGCAGAGTACTGGCCGGTTCTCTTTGGTGAGACAGTAGTGAGAATTTTGCAAAATACAGGGGCTGAAGTACAAATGTCAGATGCCACGACAATGACGCCTGGGCACGGGTAAAAATTCGAAGCATGGAAATAATTGTCTAAAATGATATTGGGTAAACCGCACGAAATGTGATCATCGTATATGATAGTGAATATTGGATAAATCTATGTTGCATCACATTCGTTTGATACTTATGTAGTTTGACAGGACGCAATCACGTCTATGACATTATACCATTGTCAGGCACGTTAAGCTTGGGCTTTACTTTGGGTAAATATGAGCTCCTGGCATTTTACAGTCTGCAATCTGGATTGATCTTTCATCGTTTGGGTAATACTAAATAGTCGTAACGAGCGTCAATCGTGAATGTACCACCATGTTCGCTTCAGCCTTGACGATTGTGCCAGCAGTTGGACAGCTCGTGCTGCTACCCACGTGCCCTGAGAGTCCGCGCTATCTTCTCCTCACGAGGCAGCAGGCAACTAAAGCACAGAACGTACTAGTGAGGCTGCGTCAGACGGTGAATGTCCACGGCGAGATGGAAGAAATGAAGAGAGAGAACGATCGACTGCTTGCGAAAGACAAGGTGACAATCTCCTTTGATTTGTAGACATTGCAGATTCTCTTGCTAACCGGGTAGTCCTGATAAATCAGGTAATGTAATTTGTCATAGTGAAGTGGTCTACTGTCCATATCGTGTGAGGTCATTTAATTTATTGTCGTTACTTTAAAAACCCGTTCATTTAGTTTGTTATTACATTTGTTTTCCAGGTGTCATTTGTTGATGTGTTTAAAAAGCGTTACTACAGAATGCCAATCATCATCACTATTGTTATGATGCTGTCACAGCAACTCTCTGGCATCAATGCTGTAAGTTCCTACATATCACCATAAATACATCTATACTATGTATCCTGTTTAGTGCTTACTATATATATGTTCACGGTATTGTCTCTAGCTATTAATGACGTACTGTAAAATGCCAGATGCACAAAAACAGATTTGTTTAGTTAGTAAATTACATATCAATTGATATGGATTTATTCCCCGACTATGTGTAGTTTTCATGCACGCATGAAAAGTGTGCACAGTGTGAAAGCGTTCATGCGTTCACATTCCATAGAATCCATCCATACATTCGCACCGTTTGATGATTCAACACATCCATGCATGGAATCATCATGGACACATCCATGCATGGAACCATCATGGACACATTCATGGATGCACTAGAATTTACAAAGCCACAATATTGTGGCTTTGTAAATTCCAGTGGCAGCGTAAAAAAACGAGTGTATAATATCGCTGTTTGATTGGTAAATTATAGCAAACCTCGACTATTCATTACCGACAGAGAAAAGGCAAAGCGTTTTTCGTCACAAGCTAATACTGCTGCCAGATTCATTCCGCATTTGTCGCTGTAAGATACCGCATCCGTAACTCCCGGCAACCGTGCAGCAACTCGCGTAGTAAACGCATCGCCGGTTTTTGCAGGTGTTCTACTATTCGACGCGCGTGTTTGAAGAAGGGGCGGGAATATCGCCTGAAGCAGCAGTCTACGCCACTATCGGAGTGGGCGTGGCGAACGTTATCATGTCTTTGGTGTCAGTGCTTCTCATCGACAAGCTGGGGCGACGAACCCTGCATCTCCTGGGCCTCAGCGGGATGGAGATATGTACTATAGTTCTCACTATATCGCTCGTTCTGTTAGGGGTAAGAATCGATTACCTGTCCCATGGTTTTTTGATGCGTAGGTGCGTGTGCAGCATGGGTCTGTTCGTGAGGCAGGAGGTTTGATTGGTGGAAAGAAGTTCAAGAAGAAGGAGAAAGGGATAAGAGGAAAGAATTTGGGGGGTCTTGAATCTATTCATTGTTAAGATTCATGAAATGCATCAAAAATCTAAACCAGATATTCTGGAATTTTCATGTACAACCAAATTTTGATGGCCTACGTACGTCTAAATAGTTGAGGTTTAACATGTCACTCGCTAATATATGTACAGTAATGTTCTTATATCTATTTAGGCATTTCCATAATATCTTTCACGCAGCTTTGTTTAACTCAACATGACGATGTAGCAATAAAGCTGTGACTGCAATGTAAATACTATATATTAAACTAGCGATATATTTAACTTACTTTTATATATTATATGTTCTTACAGAAAGGAATGTCGTGGGCAACGTGGATATGCATATTGGCTGTCTTCTTCTTTGTCGTTTCCTTCGCTACTGGTCCAGGTAATGTGTGCCAATGTGCGCAGTAATCACACCTATGCGCAAGTTTACTGCCCATAATTACATCAGGCTTTCATCAAAAATAATCCCTAATATAGATTAAAAAATTCAAATGCAACAAAAATTAACAAATTTCAAAGGCTCGAATACGTGACCGGTCGCTCATTGTATTGGCATATGATTTGCTAATCTGTGATTGCTGTTTTTAGGGTCCATACCGTGGTTTATTGCTGGTGAACTGTTCGATCAGGCTGCGAGACCAATGGGAATGACTGTGGGCGTGGTTACGAACTGGGCTGCAAACTTCCTCGTTGGGTTGTGTTTTCCATTGCTACAAAATGTGATCGATGAGTATGTATGGTTTTGTTGTTCAACTTTGTATTGCCACACATGACAAAACGTCAATTTGTGAGGCTCATCAATGACTATTAAAGAGTAATAATAATTAGATTTCTTTGTTATCACTACTATACGGGTATTCGTATACTTAATTCCTGATAATAATTACATATTTAACATTGATAAATAGTGCGGTATTATCTAATCATTTATCATTATTGCTCTCGGAGCTCTATATTGGGTGTTTGTCCCATTTACTTAACCTTGTGTGATGTTTGTATATTTCAGATATATCTTTCTGATATTCTCAGCATTTCTGCTCGTCTTCATAATTTTCACTTGGCAATGCGTCCCAGAAACGAAGAATAGAACAGTTGAAGATATTACGGCGAAATACAGACGGAAATCAATTGGCTAAACAGATGGAAGTTGCCAAGTAGACTTTACACAACATACAGTGTAGAATTCTATGACTAAGTAAGCGATTATTGTATCCCCCGCAATGAAGTCGGCGGGGATACTATGGTTTCATGTCTGTCCAGCCGCCACCGCCGCCCCCGCCGCAGACACTTTCCCTTCCGCTCTATAACTCGACCCCTAATTGACCTAGCATGACCAAACCATCGGTCTACTCAACAACATCTTGGGGGAGAAGGCTGCACAACGTACCAAACAGGTCACTACGACCTTTATTTGACCTTTTATCCTATTACCTTTATTCATATTTCCCTTTCGGCTCTTATAACTCGGCCGCCTAACTTTGACCTAGCGCTACCAAACTTGGTATACTTACACATCCTTGGGGAGGAAGGCTGGATGTCACGTATGCAACAACCAGGTCACTGCGACTTTTATTTGACCGACAGACCGACCATTCCATTGTCGCTCTATAACTCGGCCCTAATGACCTAGCCGCGACCAAACTTGTATACTTACACATCTTGGGTGAGGAAGGCTCTGTCGCATACCAAAACCAAGATTCAGCTGCCGACCTTTATTGTCTTATTCTTCCCCTACCTCTGCGCAACGACACTTGGTATTACTTGCACCGTCTTCTGAGAGAGGAAACAGTGCGCATTTTTGGCACCCTGTTCTTTGACCTTTACTCTTGGACTGAAGATACATTTTCTCCGACTTTAGTTTAACCCTAATCAAGCATAAGCCGGATTATGCCCGGGAAATGTTTAAGACATTGTAAAAAAATAGAGGACTTTTTAATTGGTGTCAGGCTGATCCTAAATTGATGTCGTCATCCATGGAATTTTTTCTGCAACTGTGATAGAACTGAACTGTGTGCGAACTTTTGAGAATTGTTTACAATGCGTGAGTATATGATTTTACTTGATTGTTCTTATCCTCAAAGAGCACGATAAAGACAGGAGAGCGTTAAAAAAGGCTGAGACCACTGTCTGCCAGTATTTCAGTCGAATTAATAAACTTTCCCCGTGTTATTGTTGACGATTCCTCAGGTATCATTGATCAGACTGTCTACCTTGTCTCATATAAAACAAACCGCATGTCCTTTACGTGATTGCCCCTCGCTGAGATAATGCAGCAGTCGAAGAATCTGGTATTTTCGCTCTAACACCGATAGTATTAGTCTAGTTACCTTGACCGTCTTCGTGGTAGGGCGGGAGGTAGTACGCGCCCACACTGATGGCCAGTGTGTTGCTTTGCGGTCGCCGCCTGTGTAGCGCCATAAGTGGCGCTGACTCACGTACCTTACTACCAGAGTTTACTATACATCCAGCGATGAGGTGGGCATATGTGGGGGTCATCACTCATGGCAATCAATTCAACAGACGCCTCCTCCATTCCATTGTCAACTCAATTGACGGGAAACACTGCGAGTTTTCACCGGAAGTTCATAACATTTCGAGAGACGCGGTCACAGTAAGCTGACTAATGTCAGTCGTGTCGTTCGGCGATAATCACCAAGGATCATTATCTCAGACGTCAGGGACATCGCTCGTGTTGTGTTTATATGAACAAGGGCTTAGGACAGCTGATCAATCAATACCTGCAAAGAATCGGTTTCAACAATAAAACGGGCGGAAAGTCTTATTAATTTGACATAATTACTGCAACATGGTTCAGCATTTTTACCGTTGTCACGCTCTCCTTCTTATAGTAATGCCTTTCTTGTTTTTTTTTTTTCAGGCCGTAACAAAAAAAAATTGTTCTGTTTTCCGGTACCGACGCGACTCTAACCAAATAGTTTTAGGCCGATCCTAAACATTTTGAACACTTTTAAAAATGAAATCCAACAAATTGCATCGATTGCGACCTTTAATATAAATTTAGATGAATTTATTTACGAAGCATAAACCCTGACGATGTGCGGAATGCAGCCAATTAACTCACCTCTTATAATAAGTAGCTTGATAATGTTCTACGAAAGCATCGCGCGATTGTCCTGACCTGCCAGCTGCCTGTATACGCCGGGCTCTACAGTTTTTTGCGTTATTAATTAAGGTCTACGCACCATTAATCTACCAGTGCCGGCACATGCTATGCAGCATTGATCTCTACTATACTAACTGTTTATTCGTAACCTGCTTAGTTACGTTCCAACTATAACTACTTATACGTATAGTTAGTAGAGATCAGTGCATATGATAGGCGTTCCGTGTGGCGGCGGTTTGTTTGTTTTTGTTTTTGCTAATCGTGTTGGTGTGTTGGCGCTGTTAGAACCAGCGGGCCCTGAGCAACAGAGAGAGCGGCCTTAACAAACAGCGGCGTGATGAGCGAATGCTCGCGTCCACTCGCTTTGACGACACTGCGCGGGCGAGCGTCGCGTGCTGCGCTGGTCCATCGCGCGCGCGAGCTTCCAGAGAGCTGTCTGCCAGCCTGACGTCATAACTTTTGAATTTACGGCCAGGGCCCGTTAGACTTTCTTGTAGGCGGCCACGTTGTTAAATCAGTAAGCCGATTCTTCAACACTTGGGTCATTGTCTATATTCAGGCCAGCGTGACAGGAGATAATTTGATAATTTTAATCACGTGGTTTTGTGTTTATAACAATCAGACTGTAATCCGCGTGCTCGTGACGTCACTTCCAGCTGTATGAAGAAAGGATGTGCTGAAGGAGGAGGAAGGGCGAGTAAGGGCAGAATGGCTGGTGGGAAGGAGATGGGGGAGAAGCTGAGTGGAGAAGGACGTGAAACGGGAGAAGGGAGAACGGTGGTGCGAGAAAGAGGAGGGGAGAAGCTTGGTGGAGAAGAAGCGAGGAGGGGAGAAGGTGAGAAGGTGCGTGGGAGGGAGAGGAGAGCTAGTGGAGAGGAGGGCAAAGACGCTGGTTGGAGAAGGATGAACGGGAGAAGCGCGAAAAGAACGCGTGGTGGAGAAGGAGGAGGATAAGCCTGGTGGAGAAGGAGGAGGGAGAAGGCTGTGGAGAAGAAATGAAGAAAAGAAGGGAGAAGCTGGGTGGAGAAGGAGGAGGTGGTGGGTTGTGAGAAGGTGGTGGTGAAGGTGGTTGAGAAGGTGGAGAAGGTGGTTGCCAGTGAGAAGGGCCACCTCCTGCCACTTCTCCACCAACCTCCTCACCAGCTCTCCCCTCCTCTATTCTCCACCAGTTCTCTCCCACTCCTCCTACCACCTTATGTAGCCTTTTCCCTTCTCCCACCTCCTCCTTCTCCGCCAGCTTCTCCCTCTCCACCCGCGGCACTTACATCTCTGAATTGGTATAACACAAACCACGTGACAAGTATGACAAATATCATCCCTGTACCGCCGCCGTGAATATAGACACAACGCGTTCAACTTTGGCATGGCGTACCAGAACAAAACACTGGCTTCCGCCACATTGCATAGGCCCTTAATTTGCTAAATGCGATCACATCCACAAGAGAGGAGCTGCGCACAGTCTCCTCAAATCTATTATTGATTGTTGATTCCGATCATAAATTTCAGAAATTACCTCAGAACTTTGAAGAACAATTTCAGCTGTCGTGAAGTACACTCTTTGATTCCTCAAGCAGTTTGACTTGTCAGATATTTAAAGTTGATCAGAATTTCGTATAAAAAATTGTTTGTGGAACAGGTAATCCCTCGTCAACCAACCAGAAAACCAATATAAATCCGGAAAATTCTAAACAGTACAAAAATCACGGCAAGCAAAAGAAACCAACACTAACTGACAGCGTTACATAAATATACTATTTTCTAAAATACACATGTTTATATTGTATCTAAACCAAATACTACATTAGGATTAACATCGAATAATAGTGTTACAGAAAACATTTCCAATACGAACAATCAAGCACACCTATCAAGCGTAGACTGGTACCCGGTCGACAGTTTCCACACGCTTCACACTACGTAACGGACAAAGCCAGCACAACAGCGTCAGTGTAGCGAAAGGATAACTTGCCGGAGTAAAGTTAGCGAAGGGCTACCAGCCTCCACAACATGCGGCAATTCCCACTGAAGGTAAGACCAAAATTGAGTCCTAAAATTTTCAGCAAAATAAAAATTTATTTACTCTGCCTGCGGTACCCCTAGTTTGAAAAATCCAGATGTAATACGGAAACAAACAGAATTTTTTTATGTTAGGCCTCATCATTGTTTCACCATTAGGCCACCAATAGTGAATATGCTTATGCCCAATCAAAATATTAAACTATTTCCCCCCCCCCCCATTTCAAACAGTTTAATATTTAGATGCAACAGGCATTGCAATTCATGGATAATAGTTTCAACAACTATTCCTGCTTGTCAGTGTAATGCGGCCATCATTCGTCACTGTTATTAATTTAGCATGCAAAGCCATTGCAATTATGGATATGAGTTTTTCAACAATATTTCGGCTGCCTTGTGCAATGCAATGGAGGCATATTTGATATGCTAGTTAACAATTGGAGATCGCAAAGCACCTCTGCATATGGATAAGTTAGTTTCAATACAATATTTCTTGCTTGTCAGTGAATGCAGCATATTTTCGTAGCTGCTTATTAATTTAGATGGCAAAAGCATGTGCAAAATTTGTATAAAGTAGTTTCAACAATTCATGTTGTCTGCTTGGCTCAGTTGTAACAGGGCCAGCTATAAACATAACATCAGCAGTGAAAGATAAATCACACATAGTTTTATTCGATTACACTTCTAGTTTCCGCCATATTCTTCCCACACTACCACGATCTAACACACGTGACCTTTCACAATACAGGCCCGGGAACACAGGAACAATACGCGTGGGCCTGTGATACATCTTTTCTCCTATATGCAAATAACTCAAAACTCTCAACACTGTGCACGTGGAAATCTGAGGATATACTCAGCTACCTATACAAACACAGTAGTTTTTTGACAAACACCAGTCTAACTACACAAATGTCAATTAAGTGACAACGATAACAATAACGACATTTTCCATTATTCATAGGCGACTTTAACATAATCTGGCCACATTCACAATAATATCATCCTGACCCTACAGTCAATGATTGTAGGGTATCTAAAATACAACTTAGTTAGAATCTTCCGGGTGATATGGTGTGACACAGATTGTACTGTGTTGTCTCACTCATCGTCTCGGTACATTAAGTTTCCTTAGGTTGAGGGATAGATCTCCTACGGCGCTC